TTTATAATAAATTTTTATTAAATTAGCCAATTTCCCATTTGGTTTTCATCTTCTATTCCAAAGACTGTTTTAGACTTGAGTTCTGTAATGTCTGAGGTGAGTAAAGTCCTTCTATTCACACCAAATATCTGTTTCTATCCTTTCTTTTACATTCAGTATTTAACTAAATCAAGTTATTCTCTTTTAAATAACATTTAGGTGAACGTGCTTTATTTATTTTTCTTTACTGTCATTAAGATCTTATGTTTTCTGGAGTTACTATATTTTACTTAATTGTTTGTAGTGAAAAAAGGAAGAAAAAAATATAAATATGTCATGTTAAGCATATAAAGTCAAATTACTCTTAAAGGTACAATGCTCACTTTAACTCAATAAATTTGACATATTATGTTATTCAACTTGTAATTACTATCTTAAATAGATGTATTCCTGTGGAATTTCATCTAAATAAAACTGCATTCATGAAAGACAAAACTCACCTATTACTGCAGGCTTCATAAATAACATTATAACATTGGATACAGATAATTCATTTGAGAGGGGTTTTAGTTTAATTTTCAGTCTTAAAATGTTTATGCCTGTTCATAAGAAAATTGATTATTATTGATTATTTTTAAATAGATTAAAATTCAATGTAATATTAACATCTAAAATAACTTGCTGTCCAATTAAAAAAAAAAAAACTTTTATGAAGTGATACCAGTTGACTCATCCTCCATAATGCCTGTTAAATTGCACTGCATTTTGGTCTTTCTCTCCTCTAAGTACATTCAATTCTCCTAGTCAAACACTTTCAATCCCTGACCTCAAATGTCTCAGTTCATGCTCCAGATATAACATGCCTGACAATAAACATTTATTCACTATTATGTGTTCCAGGCAATAGACTGGATTGATTTCTACAGAATCATCTATACCTCATAGAACGACCCATTTACCCACATATCGATTATGGTATGGATGGAGACTTGGCTGCTAGTACAGCCTCTTACACTTTTCCCATCTCTTCTAACTTTCTGTGAGAAATATCAGTGGCATTTTTTTTCTCTTATGCTTACAGCAATTGCAGCAGGACATCTCCCTATTAGGACAGTTTCAGGAACCTACTACTTTCTCTGGCGTGACTATTCCCCAGTCCATGTGCTTGAATTATTTTTACTGATTTGAATTGTCTTGCCACATTGTCACAGACATCACACAATACAAATTTGAATGTTTTCAGTTTTCCATATGATCATTATAACCTTCATAAAAATAAACAATGTTTAGAAGTCATCTATGTTGATTTTAGCTGAGCATTTACAATATAAATGTAGGAGACACCTTGTAGCACTGAGTGGATCTGCCAACTCAGTAATCTCTAGAATTTTAAAAGGGAAACTCTTGAAATTTTTTCCACTAATTATGTGTTAAAATGCGTCATGTGCCCTTGGGAAAACCATGCCTGTTTATAGGTAACCCCTGGGTTCATTCTTCTTTGTGGGTGTTGCAACCTTAATCTATGTTTTTAAATACATCTGTCAGTATTTTAACTTGTGACCTTTACAGATCTCTGTGAGCTACTACTTAGATATGCCAATGGATTCTAAATGTGACATAATAATATCTGTTTGGAGGAAAAAAAATCTTCTTTTGTATTATCACCTAACAAAATAATGTCTTACCATTGTTTGAAATGAAGGCTATTGACTATGATGCTGAAGGTGACTGAGCACACAGCACAGGAACCATAATATTGCAGTTCATCTGCTAATGGAAGATACGTTTAATACTTGAAATTCAATAAAAATGAGTTAGGGGTTTTTCAATGCTGTTTAGTCTTTTACATGTTAATTTTGTTGTTTTGCACTGTGTTATAAACAGTGTGAATAAAATTTAAGTGTTTTTTTAGGGCAGGCGATATGAGCTGCTTTTCCTGAGAACCTTGGTTTAGTTCCATGTATCCACAGCAGTTGGCTCATAATTGTCTGAAATGCCAGCTCCAGGGATCTTATGTCCTCTCTTGCCGATGTTTTTAAATACATCTGTCAGTATTTTAACTTGTGACCTTTGCAGATCTCTGTGAGCTACTACTTAGATATGCCAATGGATTCTAAATATGACATAATAATATCTGTTTGGAGGAAAAAAAATATTTTTTTGTATTATCACCTAACAAAATAATGTCTTACCATTGTTTGAAATGAAGACTCCTTGGGAATCTGCTCTCATGTGTGATACACGCAGAGACAGACATGCACACCAATAAATGTAAGTCTTTTCAAGTAATATAAATATCCCTTTTCTATATAAATCAATTATTTCTTGTCAGTATGATAATTAACTTTTGTACATTTCTAGGTTGTTACAATTTGGAGAGTCTTAAGCTAAAACACCCAATAAATTAAATTTTTCACGTTAAAAAAATGTAATTATGGGCACTTCAGCGCCTGTTTTAGATTTGCTAAGTGTCTTCTGTCTCTTTTATTGTGTTTTATTCCTCTCGTGCTGTCTTGTTCTTGTTTTGATGACTTTTCAAGGTAATATGATTTGAATATTTTGTCCCACGTTATAATATATAATGTATTTTGTGGTGCTCATAAGGAAGTTCATAAAATACTAGCATTTACCAAGGTGACCACAGCTTACCTTTAATTTAATAAAAAATCACTTCATATTTATTACTGCTGCATTTTGTTATGACTTCTTGAGGTTACAGTTTTCATATGCATCCATTCATCTGTTTTATACTGATAATTATCTTTAATATTTCCTTCTTCATTTTTGTATGAAATTAAAATGTTTTCAGTACTACCCTTATGTTATAGTATATTAATTATAGTATACTAACTCTATTTTGTTGATAATACTGCATCAATTTGTACTTGTCTGTATGCTAACTTTATCCGTGATACGTAGATTTTTCTAGGCTAGCCTTGACTTCTTAGTGTCCTTTTATTCATTTATTTATTCATTTATTTATTAGGACTTATTATAAATGAAGACCTGATACCCTACATCTATGAGTATTGGGGACAGATCTCATTGAGTGTTTTTAAGTTAGTGAGACACTGCTTAGTTTTATTTATTTTCCTGAGAGGTCATCATTTGTTATTTTCTTTTTGGTGTTTTATGTTTTATACTTTTCCATCAATAGTATCAAGTTGCAAAAGTAGATTTTTTTTATTCTACTGTAATTTTTACTATCTTCATTGCATTCTACCAGATTTGTGACAATAGTAAATAATACTTTGAAGAAGGCAAAAACTAAATAATAACTGTGTCAAATATTAGTATTCTTAGATTTATACTGCTTTATTCATTTAAGATTAAAATTATAATCCTTTTTTGGAGCTGAAAATATTTATTTAACTGACATTTTAGTGATCAGGTAAGCATATGAAATTTTATGAGAATTCAAAAGAAGTAATGACAAGGAACATGTTCTCAAGGAAACTATACAAATATGTTATATGGTGAAAACACACACTTAGTTCCTGAGATCTGGGGGTGGGACTTAAAGCATTTTAAACTGGAATATAGATTCATAAGTACGGAGGAAGTTTCTGTAGCAAAATTGGAGTTGACATGGATTTAGGATCTAGTGTAAAAATATCTATATATTAATGTAAAATTTTAATTATGATAGAAAGAAAATTTAGATACTAAAAATATACCACCTTTTAATTAGTAATTTACAGTGACAAATTCATTAAGATTTCATGGTATCATTTACCACATATTTGAAAAATCACCACAAACATTCAAATTTCCTTATTCCTATATGGAAATACTCTCTTTAAGGATTTATTCATTCTGCCATGATCACTGTCTCCCAATGTAGTCATGACCAAACTCATTTTCCGTAGAAATTATAGCTTAGTACTCTAAAAATGGGACACACACCAGACACTGATTCTTCCACACTTAGATGTCATGCCAATTCCAGCTTGTCAGAAATGTGAGGAAACATGAACACAGCACCTGTGCTTGTCTTGAGAAAGGTTCTCAGATGAAATACTGGAAAAATGAGCAGTGTTTAGATCTCAGTTCAAAAGCACAAGGTAGCACTTCCTACTGTAGATTCAAGTCAGTCAAACTTGGAATCCAACATAAAATCAACAAAAACAACAAAATACTGTCAGGGATGGAAAGAAGTTTATGTATAAAGTTGGCATTGCTCCAGGATCTAGTTGTTTAACAAACATTGGTCAAGGTTTTGCTAAGCATGTATTGTGTATACATAATCCCAGTATTCAAACACTAATTATAAAAACTGCAGATAATAATCTATAGTATTATTGAATTTCATAAAAAAGAGTATTTTATCTAAGAGGAGGAAATTCTTCCTCAAGCAAAGTAGTAATAACTGTAACAGGCTCCAGACTCCTGGACTCTTCTGAAGATCTCAAACTTCCTAGACAGGAAGTGTGTTTGATAAAATCTCCATTCACCCTAGTGTATCTACTTCTCTCGTTTCCAAACAATCTTGTCCCAATATGTCTGTCATCTTTCACTTTCATTCACTTTTGTCTCCATCCTGCCACCTACAGGTGTTCCTTTGTGTGATGAGCATAGTCAAAGAACCAAAAATACTAAACAGATATAAATATATAATGATTGCATTTAAAAACACAAAAATTTTTATAGATTCCGTAGCTAAAATTCTCTAGCAATTCCTTTTGGATGCTAATAAGTCATTTATTCTAGGAATGTGCCTATAAAAATCAATTTAATATTCATTAAGATACTAAATTTCATGAGATGGATATCATTATAGAAACTGATTAACAACACTAAGCATGATGACATACAATTAGATGGACTACACAATATATCTTAGGATCTGTACATAATAACTTCTACCATGATAAAAGTGTGTACAAACCAAAGAAAGAAATAATTGGTTTTTCCCTCTTGTAGATCATTTTTGGTGAATAGAAGTAAATAATGTCAAGGGAAAAAGTAGTCGTTTATAACTTTGTTTGTTCTCTTTCATTACTTACCATTTTCAGATGAACATGCAGCTTCAGACTATACCCAATTCCACCATGGTGACAGAATTCCTCCTCGAAATTTTTGCTGAGACTTGGGGACCCAGATTCCTGATTAGTATGCTGTTCCTGCTGATGTACCTGGGCAGCCTGCTAGGGAACCTAACCATCATCATGGTTAGCACCATTGACCAAAACCTACACACACCCATGTACTTCTTCCTCAGGAATCTGTCCATCTTAGACATGTGCTATATTTCAGTCACAGTCCCCAAAGCCTGTGTCAACTCTCTCAGTAATAACAGGGGCATTTCTGTGACTGGGTGTGCTGCACAGATCTTCTTAGTCATGTTTTGTGGATGTGTAGAGATTCTATTTCTCACCGTCATGGCCCAAGACCGCTATGTGGCCATCTGCCAGCCCCTCCTCTACCCTGTCATCATGAACCACCAATTTTGTGTTCAGATGACTTTGGCCTCCCTACTCCTTGGTCTTGTCATAGCAGGTTCACACACTGTGAAGACATTCCAGTTGTCCTTCTGTAGCTCTAACATGGTCTCTCAATTCTTCTGTGATATCCCACCTTTGTTGAAGCTCTCTTGTTCAGACACCTTTAACAACAAACTCTCAATGCTCATAACTGCCATCATCTTTAGTGGGAGCTGCATTATCTTCATTTCTGTATCATATGTTCACATATTTTCAACTGTGTTAAAGTTTCCTCTGAAAGAAGAGAGAGGAAAGGCCTTTTCCACCTGTGTCCCTCACATTATTGTGGTGTCTCTGTTCACTATCTCTGGTGCCTACATGTATCTGAGACCTCCAGTTATCTCAGAAGTAGTCCAGGACATGATTCTGTCTGTACTTTATACCACTGTTCCTCCATTATTTAATCCTGTCATCTACAGTCTAAGAAACAAACAGATAAAGGAAGCTGTAAGGAAAGTAATACTGAGAAGTATTTAGCCCCCAAAATTATAAAGGTCAGTTTAGATTACTCTTAGAATATCACTGAAAGCCAAACTGTTAAAAAATACTCTTTTTCTTAGATTTGTATGTTATTCACTTTAGCTATCAAATTGTTAGAAACTCTGAAATATTTATTATAAGAATTATCTACTGCTTTTTCCTCTCCTATCAAGAAGTAAAAAATATTTTATAATGTGTTATTTTGAATACCTCTATAGAGTATAGCATGACTATTTGATACATTCATATAATACATGATAAAATTAGATTATCCTCCACTTATAATCATGGAATATGTACTTTAATTTTTGAAGGATTTTATTACATTTGTAAACTGTAGTTAAAAGCTATGACTAATTTTTTTGCAAATACTTATAAAGTTAAAATTTAATACCAGTAAACATTAGAATTTGATACCTAATATTTATCACTCAGTATATTTATCAAAGGTGATGATTTCTTTAAAGATACAGAGATGAAATAAAGCACTGATTTATACAGCCACACTTCTGATGGATACAGAAATGCTTTTAAAATAGAAATATAACTCAATAGGATGTTCATAGTGACATAAGTGCCTTGGTTTAAATGCATCCAAAAACAAAATCAACCAGAATATATATATATATATGTGTGTGTGTGTGTGTGTGTGTGTGCGTGTGCGTGTGTTTCACTCCATTGGAAACAGGAAAAATTGCATGTCATCAATAGGAGAATTTAAAAAGTTGTTATTTCAACCTCTTTGTACAAATGGTAAAAGATGAAGTTCTTTTGAGGATAGGTGCATTTCCACCTTAACTAACTGTATTCTTTAAGCACTCCATGCCCATTTTTAACAAGATTAAACCACACTACTAGGGACAGTTATTGTGGTTTCTCTCACTAGGATAATTCGCATGCATTTTCTGAATAAAATGCTCAATAAGCATTTATGACTAGGTAACCAGGTAATTAGCAATTACATTAGTTATTAAACCCATATGAACTCTAATTATTTCTTTTAGTGGTCTTATAATGTAAATTTGTGTACACTAGATAATGTTTGTAGAATAGGTCAGTTATCTCTGAAAAATTTTAATTATCATAACTTTGAAGAAATTTGAATAAAAAGCGAGAAAAGAAACCATCCCAGAAAATTATATAAGGTAATCTTTGAAGCATTTCAAAAGACAGATTTTGATTGGCTATGAATTATTTAAAAGTATGGAATTTGGCTTACAGCTGGGTCGGACCATTGAATGATAATTTCCCTTAGCAGCTTGCAAAGTATCATCTCCAACCAGGAGAGCTAGTCTTCAGGGAATTGGCTTTCAGGTCAGTCCCAGCTTTGTTGCTCCAATACTGTGACCAAATTCTGTCCTGTCTTCCCTAAGTTAGGGAAAGATTTATTTAAAAAATCAATTCATTAATTTCGTTTTGGCAACTCATTAAGGTCATAGGACATTGATAAATGTGTTACATTGGTAAGAGTGAGTAATCCAAATAGGCTCTATCTTCTTTGTGGAAACTAATAAAAAAGGGAGGGATGCCTGACAACTCAGGTCTTATCAATGAGAAAAGGGACAAAATATGACAATACCTCTTTTTCTGTGGTCACACATGAGTGGAGAAAAAGAAAACTTGTTCCTTTTATTCCTATATATGAATAAAGACACAACTAGCCCATATCACTTTGACTCAGATCTCAAAGAAAAGAATATCTGATGGTTTAACGAATTCAAGCCTGGCTGAAAGGTAAACTGCATGATAAAATAAAATGACTGCTTCTTGAAACTCCTGAAACATGAACACTTCAACTCTCCTCCCTGTACTGCATCTCCTTTCTCATCATTGCTCCAGGCGAACTCCTGATCTTCTGCCTCAGTTCTCTGGACTAGCTTCCTATCCGAGACTACCCAAATCCTCTTAAATCTCCACAGGCTCTCCCAACAAACAACTCGCCCCTGCTATCCTTATGTGCCTGTCAAAGATTCCCACCCCCACACAATATTATCCTGGTAAAGCAGACAATGCCCACAGTCTCCTTATTCCCCTGCAATCTGAGCATCCCCTCTCACGCCTCTGCACTCTGGCTCTGTTCTAGTCATGGACCTGCACCTACTCCTGCTTTCTAATCTCAGATATCTGTACTCCCCTAGCAGACAAGAAGAAATAACAACCTTACAGAAAAGAGGAATCAACAAATATCAAAATTCAGTGCAGGAATTAATGGCATTTAAATAAAGAAAACTGCACAAGGAATCAATGAATCTGAGATCTGATTCTTTGAAAAGTTAAGCAAAATATGTAGACCATTAACCCAGTTAAACAAAAGAAAGGCCAAGTACAAATTTATAAAATGAGAATTGATAGAGGAAACATCACAATAGACACCAAAAAATAAAATCCTGTCATTATAAAAGAGCAAGTAAGCAAACATATAATATATTAGATTTGAAATTGTAAAAGAAATGGATGAATTATTAAATTCATGGAAATGACGAACTTTAAACCCAGACGAGATCAACACCTTAAACAGGCCTATAACAAATAAGGAAACTGATACCACCATACAAAACCATTGAATGAAAAAAAGCCCAGGCACAGATGGATTCACATCAGATTTTTACCAGGCATTCAAAGGAAATCTACCACCAATACTTTTTTAAATTACTCAAAAAATACAAGTAGAAGGAGAACTCCAAAACTCGTTCTTTAAAGTCAGTATCACTCTAATAACAAAAACAGGTAAAGACACACACACACACACACACACACACACACACTCACATATGCACCCCCCCCCACATAAAACACTTTAGGAAGTCAATCTCCTTAATGAACATAGACTCAAAGAATCTTGACAAAATACAAACTATGTCTAGACAGATATTAAAAAGATCTTCCACCATGATGAACTCAGCTTTATTCCAGAGGAGACAAGATCAACACCTTAAACAGACCTGTAACAAATAAGGAAACTGATACCACCATACAAAACCATTGAATCAAAAAAAGCCCAGGCACAGATGGATTCACATCAGAATTTTACCAGGCGTTCAAAGGAAATCTACCACCAATACTTTTTTAAATTACTCAAAAAAATACAAGTAGAAGGAGAACTCCAAAACTCGTTCTTTAAAGTCAGTATCACTCTAATAACAAAAACAGGTAAAGACACACACACACACACACACACACACACACTCACATATGCACCCCCCCCCACATAAAACACTTTAGGAAGTCAATCTCCTTAATGAACATAGACTCAAAGAATCTTGACAAAATACAAACTATGTCTAGACAGATATTAAAAAGATCTTCCACCATGATGAACTCAGCTTTATTCCAGATAATGAGTTTTTTCCTAATGTCTCAAAGTTCTTGCATAGCCCTGTACTTTGTTTTTATTTCCATAGTCATTGACCGAGTGTTCTAATTCCTCTATTATATCTTCAAGTTTTGATTTTCTATGTTCTACTTGATACATTATACTAGTAAAGTTTCCCCTTGAGTTTTCAATTGGGTCACTGAAATGTTCAGTTCCATCATATTTTCCAGTTTGTGTCTTCTTCAGTATTATTTTTTACTCAGTTGTTTTCAAATCCTTATTTTCTTTGCTTATTTCATTCAATAATGTATTTGTGTTTTCTTGAATACCACTCATGAGGCTATTCCTACACTCTAAGTTTATTGATATATTTACTCATATATTCATTACACTTCTTGAATTTTTAACATAGTTATGGATATTCTTTCAAATTTTGTGTTGTGTGGTTCAATAAGGCAATTGTCATTATTGACCATTTACAAAGGACTGATAAGTGTTTATTTTTGGAGTTTTTGGAGGACAATTGTCTTGGCATTTCATGTTGTCTGTGCTTTTGCAATGTGCCCTGGGCATGTGAAATTCTTTCACTGGTTATTTGCCTGGTGTGATAATATTCTATTCTGTCTCAATTAAGTGGACTTTTGGTTGTTGTTTTACTATTGATGAAGCTTGATTGATCTAACTTCATGTATAAAGAGTTGGTAGATATTCACTGTTGTTTTTTTGATTAAAGAGACAGAGGCTATTCCAATTTGGTGGTAAATCAGAAATCATGCAAGTGAGACTCCTGCCTGAGTTTGCCTGGACTGATTTGCATATGGCAGAACTCCACTTTTCCTGGAAGCATGGGGATAGCATCATGGGGTAGTTATGTCCTGGGGGCATCATCAGGCTGGACCAGTACATAATCTACCACGTTGAGCTTGGACTGGGATAATGAGAACAGCACCATGGACAGGTGAGGTTCTTGGGAACTCAGTAGACTTGGCTTGACCTTATTCTTCATTCCTGATTCAGTTGTCTCTTTTCAGTTCTGCCTTTATGTCACACTTTCTAAATGATTTAATTTTATCAATTTGAGACTGAGGAGTTATTGGTGGTTGACAGTTTCTGTGGGAGAAAAAATCATTCTTTTTGAGGATGTAGGCCACTAATAGGATTGCCATGGTCCAGAGGAAGGCTGTCGGGAGCGATGCTTGCCATAAGCATTGGAAATTAGGAGAGTTTCACTTTAAGAGCTTCTGAGTTCTCTGCTTCAGCGGTCAGAGCTGACAGGCTGTACCTGGATGATAAATCAGGACTTCTGGAAAGTTAGTTTCAGTTCAGCCTTCATGCTGTCTCTATAGTAACCCTTTTGTTTCTGTTGGGAAGATTCACCTAGGTGACCCAAACTCCGGGCTGGATAAAAAGGACCTATGGGACCCCTCAGTAGATTCTTCCTTCTAAAGAGCACTCTCCTCTCTGTACCTGCTGTCCCTTTAATAAATTCCTCGCATAACTTCAGACGTATGCCTGAGTGTCCTTTTTGTTGAAGACCCAAGCCTAGTGGGCTGTGTTCAATAAGTGGCGCTCAATGCGGGGCTTGAAGACCCCTGGCACCAGGCTGTCTGAACAGATTTTGTGAGGAAAAAGTGTTTTTTGGGTAAGTATGCTTTTGTTAGGTAAGTATGTCTTTTTCCCTTCT